TTTTTAGCTCTTCGTTTATCTGTGCGACGGTTTCAAGTGCCTCTTGAAGGGTTAAGTTTTGTGAAAAAGTTGGCAACATTTAGAATTATTTACGCAACAGACCTACTTCTGCAAAATGTGACTAAGATCGTTTGCCTCCGTTGACTCACCATCGATATTTTTAACTATAAACCCCTGTAGACCATGCTGAATTACGTGTGCCAATTTTTCAAAATCAGGGTAGTTATCCACATGCTTTATCTCTGAAACGAAGTCGGTGACCCTCATTTTTTTGCTTTTCTGACACAAGTAACTCATTATCTGGCTGCAGTAAAAATTTAAAAAAATCCGTCGCCTGCAAAATTTACGCGCGAAGGTCCTTAAGCCCCGTCCACACGCACTACGCCGGAGAAATTTGAAAATGCGGCTTTTTTTCTTCGGTTATGCCTGCCGTCCATACTAATCCGTCACGAAAACAGAGCTTTCCGTAAACGCTCTTTCAAACCACCCTGCTTTGAACCAGAGGATTTTCGTTTTTGTGCTGAAGGAAAACGTTACGATATTGAGTACAATGACGTTACGATAATCACGTGATTTCCCTACCCGAGTTTTCTTCAAACACAAATCCAAAATGACCAGGGATTGTTGCGTTTTCAAATTCCTCGCGTAGTGTGGGCGGAAAACATTTGATGCGTTTTCAGAGTAAAACACCGTCTTCAAATTTCTCCGACGTAGTGTGGACGGGGTTTTAAAGTTTCGAAGGTAACGACTGCCCAAAAGTAGCACGAAAATCCACTCATTGTTGTAAGTACGTTTGTTTGTTGATCCCCGGTCTCCTCCGTAGTGGTGTTTTGAGATGTCACGCCCCAGAAACGGCTGCGGAGGACTCTAATTGAAGAATTTACTCTCACAGTGCCTCTCTTCACTCAGGTGTATAAATGGTTACCGACAAATTAATGCTGGGTGGTAACCCTGCGATGGACTAGCATCCCATCCAGGGGAGAGTGGATATATCCCTAGTTGCTTCACATTACAGAAAACGGGATAAGCTCCGGCTGTATTGGCCGCTGGCCTGACACACATCTTACCTTTAACTTTAAACCAAGTTTTATTATTCGCGTTATTAATCACAATTTTTGAATTTTTCCCTCTCGGCTCCACAGAAGGTATCGGATGTTTTTGCAACAACATCACAAGCATCCTTTTACGCACCTTTATACAAAGACAAAACTTGCTTGATACGCCATGACTCGCTTTTCAAAGCCGTGTGGGACTGGGTCATTCTCGCGTTTGTGATCTACACAACCATTGAGATCCCTTTTGATGTGGCCTTCATTAGACCGACGCAGAACGCTAAGAGCACCGCTCGGTTTGGCGCCTTGGTGGCCCTTTCACCGATCGCTATTGTAAATCTCATTGTAGATCTGTTTTTTATTATTGACATTCCGCTTAACTTTCGGAGCGCTTCTGTGCATAAGCATACCGAGGAGGTCATCAGTGATCCTAAAGAGATCGCTGTTCTTTATCTGAAGTCGTGGTTCATTGTGGACTTTGTGGCAGCTATTCCATTTGAATTCCTCGTCAATCCTCAACATGAAGGGGTAAGTAGACAAGGTAGTGGCCAACCTCGTTCCCAGGGTCTCTCAATCTTTTTCGCACTACCAAGGCGAGAGGAAAAAGACCCTGGGAACAAGGTTGGGTAGTGGCATAATCATACTATGGGTCATGGTTTGTCATTTGTCTCGAATAATTTATCAACGAAACCAAGAGAGCATCGAGGTAAGAGATTGAATCACCCATATAGGCCTTATACTTAAGGTAATCCCTCTTAAGTTATTTTTAGGCAGGGTACCCACGTTGCAGTTCTTCCGCGAATGTCACTCGCGCCTTGCGTGGATGTTTTGGCGGAGGAGTTGTTTATGTTTCGCTCCGTTTCGTTTCGTTTCAAAGCGAAGGAAAACCTCAAACGCCGTTGGGATGTGAAATATCAAAGAGGCAAAGGACCTTCGGTCTTCGCTATGCTTTAATTTGTTTTTTCGAAACTTTAACAGGAGTTTAAGACGGATATTCCCTGAACAAACCATAAAAACTGAATGAACGGCAGAGAAATGTACAGCCAAACGAGTGCAAAGCAAACGAACGCCCGAATACGAACGAACGCAGCCGAACAAACAGATGGTCCTAAATGCTGACAGAAGCTGGCTACCCAAACAGCCAAAGAGAGTTAAGCAACAACGACAACAACAACAACAACAACAACAACAACAACAACAACAACAACAGCAACAACGCCAAGGACAATTTATATTCAACCTATTAATATCGCACGAATTTAGATTCTTTCAGTTTGTCTGTCATAGTTAGAGATAATCCAAACAGAATAAGTAAGACAGCGAAAAAGAAGTCTTAAAATTGATCGCCGTTAAGGCTGCCGCACACTAGCCGAATTTTTGTCGTAGAACTACAGCCGACTTTTTGTTGCGACTAACCGCGTTGAGGCTTGGGGCCGAGTCAACCAAAATCAAGATGGCGCCTATTCCACTGATGTTGACTTTCATGGCATTTCCTAATTGGTTGAGGCGCGCACGAGTCCCGGCAAATTGTCTTGGTCCACCGCACACTAGCCGATAAGGCCCGACAAGATGTTTTGAGATCTAGCGTTTTCAGATATCGCCCGACGAGCCCCGATCTTGTCGCAGACTTGTCTGAATTCACCGCGCACTAGCCCGCAAGTGAAGATTTTTGTCGGTCGACAAAAAATCGGCTAGTGTGCGGCGGCCTTTAGCTCACGTTCTCTTGAATACGCAGAAGAACTGGTACCATGTCTAAAAATAACTTAAGAGGGATTACCTTGGGCATAAGGCCAATATGGGGGATTTACCTTCTTTCCTTGATAATCTCTGGACGAAACATGATGAGCCATTTGAATTTACATTGTAAAGTCCTTAGTCAGTGCTACGTGATTGAATGATGTGAGCGGTTTTTAATTAATTGTTGCAAAAACACGACTAAAGGAATCGGGAAGGAAACGCATTGGCCAATCTTATGAAACATGAACAGCCGATGAGACCTGAAAGTCAATACACGTGACCGGCAGCATTTTGCGGTAAGTGGCAAGCTTTGTAAACCAGTCGTAGGGCGTACGTTAAGAGGCATAGGGAAAGAATTTCCAATTCTTTTTCGACATTCAGTATAAACCGCTTCACTGGGAATTTTAATACTGAGTTACCTAGCATTTAAGTCAGGTATTTCGCTGACAAAGGTTCGAGTATTCTCGCTCTAATCTGCGCTTGTTTCTTCGCTCCCAGGCTACTACGCTCACGGGCTTGCTAAAGACCGCGCGCCTCTTGCGCCTGGTGCGAGTCACGCGAAAAATCGACCGTTATTCCGAGTATGGGTTAGGGGTGATCCTGCTGCTCATGTGCTCTTTCATGATCACTGCTCATTGGCTGGCATGCATATGGCACGCTGTTGGAACTGCAGAGGCACCAGGCGATCATGGCTGGCTGGCGGCTCTAGCAAAGGAAATTAATATGCCAATCAATCAATCACTGCCTACAAGTGGGCCAAGTCTTAAGACAAGATACCTCACTTCGTTGTACTTCACCCTGAGCAGTTTAACCAGCGTGGGTTTTGGGAATGTTGCACCGAGTACGAACCACGAGAAAACCTTTTCTATTGTTGTAATGCTTATGGGAGGTGAGTGCAATGACGTCATATTTATAAGAAAGCGCCCATGAAGCCACCGAGATCAACTCTAGCTTTCTGAGTGGTCTCCAAACATCCGCTTGCATAATAACTCGATGATGTATAGATAGAGGCATGAAGCACTGGCAATAGGCTGTCCACAGACCCTCCATTTTGTCTCGCGTTCGTCGAGATCGTAAGCGAAATATCAACCACAGGGGATTTGAAAAAAGCCCGAACGTAAGAGGGTGGCCCTGTGAAAGGACAAATCTTTTGCGCCCGCTTCTCAGCCGCTTCCGCTGTCAAAGAGAAATAACTCGTAGCAAAAAAAATAAACGCCTGTCGACAGACTCCATTGGCAATGGAAATAAATTTCTCTCGCGAAGCGAAGTTGACTTTGCTCACACCGTAAGCATGTATCATTGGATTCTGATGAGCACTTACGTATAGTGAGTTTGAGAGCTCAACTTTGCTAGCTGTGTAATAAACTGATTTATTCAAACACTCGCTCTCTTCTTCTCAGCCTTGATGTACGCTTCCATATTTGGTAACCTGACGGTGATCATTCAGCGGTTGTACGTAAAAAGTCTCAAGCAGCATGAGGATCTCCGCCTCATCCGGGACTTTGCTCGCTTCTTCAAGATACCTCGGCCTCTTCAAAAAAACCTGGAGGATCATGTGCTCCATGAAAACCTCACCATGAAAGTGTCTGTTATCAACCGCGTGAGTTTCATTGCTAGAAGTTCTTGTCTTTCAACTATCTGTCGTTTGAGTGTTTACAACTATTAAGAAGGAATTCACCAGAAGTTCTCAAAAAAATCATTTTTCACAACACCAGAAAGTACTGGTGAAATGAAACTGATGACGAATTTTTCCCTGTGTTTGCACAATGTCTCTGAACTTTGAAACTTATTTTCTCTAGTTCCCATGGGAAATTGTTTTCGGTGTTATTTCAGACAACTATTTATATCTTTAGCTTTAAGAAAATGTAAAAAGGACCGTAAAATACCTAAAATTATTCTGGTACAAAGCTTTTGCCCACAAAAAACTGAAATAACTCGATTTCTTATCGGATTTCGTCTTAAACCTCTTTAAAATCAAAAGGATTTTTTAACATTTCTAACTTGGCACTGAAATGATTTTTCTTTTTCATTTCACAGGTGTTAAACCTATTCCCAGGGACCCTACAAAACGATATCTGTCTTCATATCCATCAAGAACTGTTCAAGATGAATTCCGCTTTCCGCAACGCTGTTCCCAGTTGTCAGCGGTCTCTAGCCACAAAGTTGAAGGTTAAGCATTATTTACCCCGTCAATACGTGATCAAACAGGGAGATGAGGTGGATAAAGTCTTCTTTATCATGAAGGGGATAGTTCATGTTATTGAGCCGGATGGACAAACACTTCTTGCTCTTGGTAGGAGAAAATAATTTCATTTGAAACCCGGCTTGTGCAGGGAGAGAGGTGTTATGCCACTCTCATACGTGCGGGGTGGGGACAGCAAGTGGGGAAAAGACGTAAAATTTAGTTGTTTATAAGTGTTAGCATTTTATTACTTGAGACACATCTTAACCAACATAACGAGGAAATCTCATCACAGGACGTGATATAAACTTGATATATTCCGATAACAACCGCCTCGTTATTACACGTACTTTTCTTTGGGCCTTGGAGTCGTATTAAAGTACCAGACCCCGTTGTTCGAAGGGTGGATAGCGATATCCACCAGATAAATCGCTGTCCAGTAGATAAGTGCTAACAAAACAAACCACGCTATCCGCTGGATAGTGATTTATCCGGTGGATAACGTTATCCACCTTTCGACCACCCGGGCTAGGAAATTAGATTTTTTTTTGGGGGGGGGGAGCGGGGACAGAGATTATCTTCTCTGTCTGCACTCTGACAGACCGAGCAAGAGAAGGAAATCTCTGTCTCGTAAGATATAGCTCTTCTTATATTGATCAAAAACCATTTCTCTAGGGATGGGTGATACAATCTACAGCGAGCACAGGTCCATGGAGAGGAAAGCTCGGGCGGCGGCCAACGTGATTGTACAAATACCAACAGACATTCACTCCATCGAGTGGGACGACCTCACGCCTATTCTCAAAGACTACCCTGTGTTTAGAGAAGAGTTCCTCGCAAGAATGGTGTTTTCCTTCCAAATTGGAGATTATGTCAAGGTGAGTTTTTGATGGGCAGTTGATCTTTACCCTTGCTTTCCGATCCCCTCCCCCCAACCCCTTTTTGGCAAGGAGTGATTGAAGCGCTTGGGCCATAAATCGAAGGGGGAAAATCTCCGTCCGTAACTTACGCGGAAAGACTTCAAATTTCTGACGCTCATCGAAAGCAAAATGAGTCAATTGGAAATCGTTGCTAAGTCGTTAGCACGTCTTAATCCAAAATTTAAAGAGAAAGAAAGTTTTAAAGTTTTACTTGCTGTAAGAGTTAAGAACACTAAGCCATAAATCACGAAACATTTGGCAAAAACAACACAGCTTTAAATCTTTAGCGGGCCGTATAGTAGAATACGGCCCTCTAAACTGACCAATCACCGCGCGTGTAGTAACTGAGAGATGATATGAACACGCTTCTGTGAGAGTTAATGCTCAAGTTTGTTCTTTCAGGAGGAAGAAGAAGTTGAATTCGTGGAAGGGTCGCCGAGGCGACTGGAACCTATTCGAGAGGTCTGCCAATCAAGCAGGGAAGAGGATAAAGAAAACTCTCTATTTCAGACGCCAGAATTTGACGAAGTGAAAGATTTTGATCATGAAGAAAACATGAAGCTTATCGAGCGGAGACTCTCCAATATGGAAAAAAAAGTGTCCATCATAATTCCTCTTTTAACGAAAACATTGAAAAATAAAGTTTAGGAAGATATTGCTCGGGGAGAGTAGTGCAGGGAAACACCGGGAGAAAGGAGTGCGAGGGGGGGGAGAGGGACATTTTAATTTATTAACGTCCTGTTATTTCAGTTATTCCATAAGAGTCAGAGGGAAAACTTTCAGTGAATAGTGTTAACAGAGTTCTCGTTCTTAAAAGTTCAGTAGAACTTTATACGTAATAGACTAGGAGAAAATGAAAGCAAATCTAATTGTTACATTTTTAGATCTGGCACCCATTCAGATTTTAATAACCCTTCTCATGTCATGCTTTCCTCGATATGTCAACGATTTCTTTCAAATGTAAATCAAAAATTTACATTGTCTCATTTACGGGAGACAAACTTTCTGAGCTTAAACCTGCGTCAGGCAATTTTTCTACACCAGGCAGTGTCTTGTTAAATGTGATCTGGGGTACCAGCCTCCCGGCATTGCTATTTTATGTGATGTCATGGTAGTACACGAACTTGAAAACTTTCATCTATTCAGTAGTTTCCCGCGATCGATAAAAGAGTTGGCTCTTTGTCTACTTTCCGCAGGAACGAAACACTATTGTTCTGTCTTTGAGGGAGAACTATTCACACGGTAGTTATATCATTGTTAAAGTTAACATCTTTTGTTACTATTTACGTGGCAAATAAAAATGATGATGATGAGGACTACTCAATCAGAACAAAGTTCGCAAATGGTGATGCCGAGCTTAGTGAGACAAACAAACTGCTCAACGGATATTTTTCAGATACCTCTAAAGTGATCGTCTAAAATCTGTGATTTTTGCTACCCTCTTTATGACCTGACCAAAAATTCGATACCCTGTTTAAGACCGTTGCCGCTGGCACAGTTTCCCTAAACATAAGTTATGAAGGGCTTCTGTTGATGGTCTTATCGATAATGATGGAAAAGTAGCGTCGTCTAAGAAACATACCTAATTCAAGACTAGACTGCCAAAACCAAACTCTATTTAGGACCAAAATGGCCAAAATCGATACCCTGTT